ATTCACAATAGAAAGCGTCCGCATATTATATAGGATGTATTACTGAGTTCGTACATCTCCAATCTTACATAAGGTTGTCTCAACCGTGTGCTCGCTAGTGCAGCGGTTGTACATGCGATTGCCGATTTGTCATTTTTTTTACTTGTGCTGAAGATGGTGAATGCCCAAAATGAATTTCATACGGTACTCTCTTCATAGAAAACCTTGTTCAGTGACGAAAAGTTATAGTCCTATTATGAGGCTGTTTACGGAACGGTTTAGCAGGGCGTTACGAACTGTTCACAATCGGCCGCTACACACCTACAATCGATTACAAATATCTGTAAGTCATTCGAGAAATCGCTAATGCATTGCATGTGTAAATAACAGATTGTATGTATAAGTGCGCCATACGGAAAAGGCACGATATCTATTACATTTATCTGATATGAACACGGTTGTCTCTATAATGTTAATTGGCTATGTTAAAGGAAGAACCGTAGGCGTTTGACCCCTAACGGATGGATGGATTGCAGGACGTTAGAGAATACTTATTCACATAAGTTCGCCACGTTTACTTATAATTACCCTATAGGCAAACGTTTTGTGACGCGTAAGTTCGTGCGTTTTGGAACTGTTCTTTTTACATGAAGACTATACGTATAGTTGGAATCAATACTGCCCGTGGTCGGCAGATGAATTTTCTTCTCACAGCTTACCCACATCGATGTTAAACTTTCCTGCAGGCGTTCGTTGTAGATCTTTCTCTTTGAGCAAACCCCGCTGCAGGCAATTTTCCTTCATGTTTGCTAAACAAAAGTTACCATGAAAAATTCACAGCGAATACAGTAGAAGCAACAATTCATACCCGGGGTCTTATCTGTGGAAGGAACAGGCTCACTAGAGTTGCCATCACTGTTCCCTCCTCGCTCTTGATTTCTGTTTGCATCTTCCTTTGCTAATCTCCGAGCCAAGCATAGCCGTAGATACTTCACACTTATGAATAAAGAAGCTCTTGCTGGTGAAATCTAGCCGTGTCAGGCTGATTCCGTCGGATTTCTGCAATCAGGTTCGGTAGGCGGGTTGCCTATACGTTAAGTGAGATGCCTACTATATAACAGCTTACGGCGATATTCGTGTGTTCAAGATTATCATCTTTCGAAGATTGTCATTACGGTCAACCGGCATGGCGGGAATCCGTTTCTTCCAGTTAACGTGTCACTCTCATGTTACTTTATTTTGAAGATTTGTTATTTCTATCACTTGATGACCTTTATTTACTACGCATGGTGCACGTCGATGTTTCAGTTCAATGACAGCTGAATCTAAAGCTTGCCTAGTAATAACATTAACCAAAGCTGTCACCATTGTATTTGCGATGGAAATAAAAAAAATTGCGACATTCATTTGTTTATGCGAGTCGCAAAGGAATACATGTGCCGTTGCATTATCTAATATGATAATCTAATATGAGGTTATGCCTACTGGCTTACACGCAATAATATATTGAGCTATTATTATTATATATAAGCCGTTATTCATTGGTTATAGCAGCTGGAGCGAGCATCCACAGTACAAATGCGACATCTGTATCTAGACAATGCGGTAAACACTCCAGCAATGAGCGGTCTTCAGCCGTTTTATTCTGAAGATTTTCTCTAACACTCGAGCATGAAATGTTTTTCCTCGTTTTCATTTTTTTATGATCTGCTTGAAAGGGTTCTACCCGACAAGTGCGACAAGTAAATAATTGGAAAAACGTCAGCGACAACATGATAGATTCCGACGTGACAAATTTGAAATCGGGGCGAACAACGGTACCAGCTTATCAACCATGTTAGTAAGCTAGTCGTTGTCACTCACTTCATTGATGTTAATTAGCCCACTGTCAGAAAGGAAAAGAAGCTTATTCTTTGAATTATCTATTTCTTGCTGCAGTGTCACTCAGACTAGTGGCAAGAGTAAGTTCACAAGCCACGAATACCACAATAATAACAACGTAAGAAGTTCACTGCATATTATATAATACGTTATCGTATAATTATTGTGTACAACTCCCCCACCCAAGCGATAACTGTTGTTGTCTTCGTAATAGCGGGGTAATCACGTCGGATGGTCTAGGCTTCAAGCTGGGCGTGAACAGACGTTGCCTAGCGCTGGATGAGGGAGCAATCGTCTGAATTAGTGCAGAAACGTAAACATTGGACATAGAACTCGAAGCACTATTTTAGCGTACCGAGCCTGCATTTCAATTGAAGTTTTTTTAAATAGTGCGAGAGTTCGCTGGCCAGTGACCTATACGTATCGGTACCTCCGACATAAGTCAAAACAAAAAACAAAAGGTTTGACTAATAATGCAACCACCCGAAACGCGCGCGAAAAAATGTTAGCATCTACAGGATGTTGAATGCAGAGTAACATCGCCAGACGAATGCTGACACAATTTTTTTTTTTGAAATACGTTACACTATGAAATATGTTGAAATATGTGGGTATAAAATAAGAAGGTGATGATTGTTCTAAACTATTACAGTTAATAGAGAGTGTAACATTGTTTAGGTCACTATTGCAACCGGTTCTTGTCCAACTTAAACGATCATTGAAAATTTATAATATAGTAATCTGAATGAATAGATCTAGCTGTAAAATCAGCTTCCGACCGAAAATTGATATCTGTTCCTTTGCAGGCTTAGACATTTCACTGTGGACGGTGGCCGCTGAACTGTTTTCTACGCGCATGTACCACGTGGTAGGTGATACAGCTCAAAGTTAGGGATGATATAGCGTGATGCCACGACGACTGCATTAAACCGTCAGCCAAGCAGAGCAATTGGAGCAAATAGGTGCATACGGCTCCTGATTATCGCCTAATAGCTAAAATAATCAACGTTCTTATCGGAAAGCAACAAAGCTCGGGGCTCTGGTGGCCTTGTCGATGAAATCTACGGTAAAGGGCACGTGGCCCTTTGTGCATAGTACAATTACATTAATGGTGATTGCGATTAACAAAAAAGTCGATTCATAACATATCTGAACGATCAATACTCAACGTTCGAGTCAACCAAACACTGTAAAATTAGGTTTGCTTTCCTGTGTAACTTAGAGAAGTAAAATTTGAGTTTTCCGAAAATTGTTCGAAGAGCCTTAGAAAACGATTGTCACTTATGTTCCTCGTAAACGATGTCTATTATGGCTAGTACAGGGCGTGTTCCGAGCAAAAGAAAAAAAAAAATGACTATTGTCATCGGAATCTTCCAGGAAGCGTATAAACCGAGTACGCCGATTTAAGCGAAAAAGATAGCGTAAAGTCTCATCAGTGAGTACTGGCAAGTTGAAATAATTTTGCCTGTCCACTGTATATTTTTAGACCTTATGGACCAGTTTTATTTTTAACAGTGTAAGGGTAATACGGCATTATTTTGTAAAATGTAAAAAGTAACTAAGATTTTTTTGAAAATATAATCACTTTAAGCGGAATTAACCCCATTTTCCAACTCGTAAGTAGTAGATATTATATTACAAAGAACAAAAGCAATCCCTAGTAACATACAACGAAATCAAGAGTTGCCACGTACTTATTTTGCAGTGTCAGTCTGTGGCTTGATTTGTAGATATATAGAAAGTTGGGACATTTTTCATTTGACGTAGGTATAATCGTAAATAATTAAATCGAAATAACGGATAGAATAAAGAATAAAGAGGAACTGAGTAACAGGAATAATCAGATTACTAAAAATACGTGAAATCTAGAAGTCGGTTGAATACAATGAAGCACCCGATCTTCTTCTTGTCGATAAGAGCAACAGAAATGGCATTGATATTAGCGGAACGAACTCCTAATCGTTTGTTGCCAAAAGTCGCATGAATTTACAAGCGGGCCTAAATATTCCGATTTCATTCGTATAGGAAAATTATTGATCTAACGACTAGTTTGGTGGTATATTTAAACTGTATCAAGTAGTATATTAAAGCAGTGGCTGCAAACTAAGGACCTCTTCTGTGACTTGAGTGCAAGCAAACACCTTTTCGTGACGATATTATTATTATTTTTATTGGTTTCAAATTAAGTAATTACGATTTTGCCGGTTCGACAACAAACATGACGAATTCCTGAAGTTCAAGTACCGAAATTTATTTTACATCTCAAACTGATCGTTTTATGTTTACATGTCATTCGTATCGATTTAGATCGCAGTTCGTATAGAGTAAAACAAGTTATTTACGAAGGATTTATTCAGCTCTTGGTAAAATCGCCTTGGGTGATAAGAGCTGGATAAAAGCGCATAACTGCTCGAAGCTTTTTTTTTTCTAGGATGAAAGAAGGATATTCAATCGAAGGAAGGCAGCAAAAAATGCTCATTTAGAATTACGGTATATACTAGTGCCTTCTGAATACGGTGCAAATTCTGTTTTTCACGTTTAATATATCCTAACGTCTAACCTTTCGAAAGTCTGCGCAGTCACAAATAGTATATGGTAAATCGCAGCCAATGCTAATCGTACAAAAGCTACTTACGCGCAACTCAAGTGACGTCTTTGTCACTTGGCATATTATATAATACGATGTAGTTAGCATCATTGGCATAATTAAATTGGCTATTCCATTTCGCTAAGACATGGCCTCGACACACCCTGCTCATAACGGTTGTTCTTTCCGGCAATTGGATGGTCTCTCATAGTGCCCAAACTTTAATGCCCTTATGAGACTGTAGTGGTAACACATTTACCTAAAACCTGGGGGCATCTAAGGTGGCTTGGAATCAAAATACCGAGCAGACACCTCATTTCAGTCGTCTGAGACAATGCATAAAACGGCAGTAAAAACATCTGGCCAAAATCTCAACTTATCGAAGCTACTTCTTAAGATTAACAATCGTATTCCTACTGATAAATATGAAATAGAACAAAAAATGTTTAATCTTCTTTGTCACTGTTAAACATACTGCGTGTTTGGGTAGTCAGAACCCTTCTACCCAGCCCTATAATTCCAACCAATAGCACTAAGGTAAGAATCAATAGCATAAGTTTATTTAGTTATAATATATATTCTACTTTATTTCACTTTATTATCGCCACTGTAATGATCGATACCGATCATCTTTTTCATCTAATTTGTCAAAATTCTCCATATATTTGTCATTATCATTCACTCAGCCCTCTTCCGCCATTGCTGTGCTTCCAGTATTTCTACACTGATGCGAAATCTATAGCCCCTGTTGCTTCTGGGTCGCATCTCATTCTCAATTTACTTGGAATAATAATTATTAGTAAATATTAGTATTACTTTAGCATTATTTTCTAGTTTTCGCATCATATAGGCTTTTTCAATGTTACCTAGGCTCGATTCTTTCTTAGAATCAGTTGATCTGCTCCCGAGGAATTAATATCACAAAATATAGACACGCTGCTATATATTGAGTGAGCCAACATCCTTTCTTTGCTCGCCGCCATATAAGAACTAGGTTTTGAAACGCGTTCACGTGATAATCGGCTGCATTCTGTGTTTCTTTAGCATCCTGCTTTTTCTGCAGCTGTAATTATTTTCGCCGAAATTGAGAGCAAATCGGCGATACAAACGTGTCTCGGCGCGCTCACCTTCGACTACAGCAGTCACTGTTTTCAGTCGTGCTATTATTATTAACCGTATCTATATATATGTTCAGGCAGATCTTGTTGAATCGCTCATCAGTATGCGGACTTTTATCAAATTCATTTTTCGTCAAAGCAACTAGCGATTCAGTTTACGAGATTCAGCTAACACTGAAACATTCACTGAAATTTGCCGGTCTACAAATGTTTCGTCGTTTTTATCGTTCGTCCTATCAAGTCAACGCGCCTCTGTTGTAAGATCGACGTAGTTTGATCCTTTTATATTTCGATTTTATTTTATTGCCAACTTTTATTCACTTGCTCTCCAGTTTTCCCTCCTGATTTCACAGTTCTATAAATGTACTATGTATTTCTCCTTTTCCTACTCCATACTCACTCCTGAATTATTTTTATTGTCATATGAACTATTCTCGTACGCCACAACCAGCCACAGTTCTTTTACGACATCTTTCGAGCTCGAACTCCAGTAACGCGCAACCACGCAACTGATTCACGTCAGCTTTCGCAGCCCTCCGTCGACACACAGACAAAACTATCTCATGTGCACCGAAACGCTCAAATTTTTAAAAGACGCTTTCCTTAACCATCCGCAGATTTGATCATTAATACGAATTTCCCTTTATTATACTATATAGCATTATATATGCGTATGTACTTATGCTTCTCTAGGACCATTGTCAAATCGATGGGCTCTGTTAGAATCTCAGTAGAACCTGAATTGTTCATCCAGTTCGAGAAAAATTAACACAATTAATTTTGCTTGATTTTTGAAAGGCAAGCGAGTTTCCATCGCTTATGAATAGATTATAGGCTTTGCTGTTATTTTTGCCTACATTTTCTAAGATACTAGACAAATTTAGCCTTTAGAGGTAGCCCATTATCTTAATAGAATTGTTACTAATTGTCATTCTCCCTAGTAATACATGTTTACAGTAATGAATTTTTGCTTTGTCTTGTATCCTCCTTTCGATGTTCGCTGTAATAACATTGTGCACCGATTGTTATCATCTCATAGGAAATTACCCATGTAACTTCTCGTCTAACTACGGCCATTGTTATCGATATGTGCAAACGAAGCGGGTACGCACCCCACCCCAGCATTGATTACTGATCGGTCGAACGCATCCGGCAACGCTCACATTGTAATCACTGCATCGATTGATTAGCGTGTGATACGTGACAGGTTCCATCGTGTATATATAGTCGTGTTGTCTTTTTATTATTGTTAACATAATTTTCTTTGTCAAACTGCTAACAATACGACTCTCTTTCATAGTATTTATTTACACCGCTCACAGAATAAACCTACATTGATATAGAAATAACAAATGAAATCAAACAACCAGTAGTGGTAGCTTTCGTAGTACAAACACTAGCATAAAAGACCAGGCTGTGAAGACTTGTCAAGAAAACTATTTCGTTGTTGACTGATTGGCAGAATTCGTTCAATCCATGATAAATCTGTCCATATTCGTGAGGATTAGAAATGTGTGCTCGGTGGATTATCAAGGAAAAAGAAATAGCCATAAGATATGATACGCAAAACAAAAAAGTTATTTACCTAGCAGGAGGACAATTCGAACTAATCTACTAAAAATTTCAAGGAGGATCGACAGGTACAATGTCTTGTCATTACAATCATCACCATAATCACAATAATATTCATTATTATTATTATTATTGATTGCTATCATTGTCGCCGTAGCAGTAGTTCATCGCTTGTTTTTCACGCTGGTTTTCAACCGCTCGATCAAGCTATCGTATGAGATATGTGAGCAATCAAGAGTGCGACGTGACTATATTTCAGAGACACTTCTGCTAATACCGCGCGTGCATTTCGATTACTACAACGAAACTTAGCCGTGTCGCAAAATACATGCCGAATTTCTCTGCCAATATGCAACCGCTGAAGAGGGCCTGTTAAGTTGCATTTGATTTAAACGTAAGAAATTTATTTATCGGCGCCAAAGATTCAAGCTATTTTCAAGGAACACTAAAATAAGCAATCACAGTAAAGAATTCGCGTCAACTTAATAATGGCTTTTTTTTTTACTCTGCAGTTTGAATCTTGTCTTCGAAAACAGATCTATACGGTTTGGCTTTTGTTGCCGTTTTTAGAAATGCATCTGTAAAGTAATACAGTTATTTATCATAATTTATGTTTTTAACATACAGCCATTAGATATAAGCAAATGACGGGGTTGTCTCGAACACCTGCCACCGTTCGTGTTACGAAGCGTCTTTTTGCGATTTTTTGATACATTATCCATTTAAATACATTGCTGTTATCCGCTATAGTCCCGCATGTAGCCGACGTTGCAAATAATACTACCGCACGTAGTCGTATATAACTTATATATCCATTTCTTTGTGAGTGGTGATGATGCAGGTTCCAACTACGACGACTTGCCTGCTTTGCCTACTCGTCATATTTAATATTTTGTTCTCCCTGTGCCTGCTTTATATTTAGTAAGAACAATAAAATATGATAATCACAATAATATCACCTACGACGTACTACATTGCTTGTTCTTTGTTTTTGCTGTTGTGCCCACTTGTAACATTGCATCCCTAATTACACGAGTCTTAGGTCTGGTGTCATGAGGTAATAAAATGTTATGGTTCGCCTTACCACAGGCTTTTCTGCTTTTGTCGTTTCTTTTCCTTTCCCCTTCTGCTCATCCTTCATCAATATCGATCAATAAATCGCCTTACAACGCCACTTCCCCTTCTGATTAACTATTCTTGCAACAGCCTCCCGACTGTGTCGCAGGTACGATCTTGATGATAACCTACTTAGTTCACGGCACGCAATTCAACCCATCCTTCGCAGGTCCATGTGTTTCGTCCCGTCGAAATCGTGACAGGCACAGCCGGAGCCCTGGGGGACGCCTGACTCGTTCCTTAATCGGCCCGCGCTGGCTGTTCGAGCTTGCGTTCGTGGCATTGTGATGGTGCCCGGCATCGATATGAGTTTTCGTCTGTAAAATCCCAGCACGGACGGATCGATGAACGCATAGCAGCATACGCAACTTATAAGATCCTTTGTTCGTGCGTACATTAACCGTTAACGGTTCTCATGCGGCTACTTCACACGCATTAGTCGACGAAGTCTGAGCATCAGTTGTATCATGCGGCGTAATCATAACCTGTGCGATGCAAATTTCAATAGAAACATTGACAAATCATTACTGACCAATACTATTAATTACTGGAATTAACGAACGCAGCATTGACGACGAGTATAGCTAAACGAAATAGGTGAGTTCGCAAACTAAGTTACTCATTAGACTGATATTATCGTTTAGTTAGCACATTAACTGTACTAGTTAGTGTACCAGCTCAGTCACAGTTTATAAAATCGTGCTTGCAGGTCAACAACGTACCGGTGTTTGCAAGCGTTGGCTAACTATTACTTGCAGGGACTGTTGTGCCAGCCGGCCGCCAATGTCAAAGCTGCAGTTCATGCTGAAGCGGTCGACAGCGTTGGATGCCACTCGGCGAACATCAGGATCCTTGTCGCCCCAAAGTTTGTCGAATGCGTCGGGCAGGTACGAGATACCGAGGACGGCTAGAAGTTGACGACGTTCGGCCTCATGGGCGCTCGAATCGCTGTCCTCAGACCCGCCCCGGTCGGTGTGACCGTGTTTTAGGCTTGTACCATTGCTCCCTTGATTTTCACCACTACTACAGATGTTTCTGTCAGCACCTGTGGTCTCATCGGTCTTTTCCTGCTTGTTTCCATCCGGCTGGATGTTCACACGAATCGGACATTCAGCGGGAGCAGACGACACCTGCTTAGCAGACACGATAATGGTTTCTGCCGATGTAGAAGACGTGTCCGTTGCTGTTGTGAGGGTTTTTAGGGAGGCGGTCGAGGAAGACTCTTTTGTTCCTTCGGTAAATTTACCTGTCATCTTGCTGGTATCTCCTATCTTCTGAAGACGGTCACGAATTTTCGTGCGCGGCGCAGGCTTGACTTCGGTCGCGTTTACACAGTTGTGGCCCACAAGCAAAGGTTCTTTTTCCGTTTTGACAAGCTTTGTCGACACTGTGTCGTTCTGAACGGTGCTGCTATCGTCTTCATTGCTCGCTTGCTCGCGTGCGGCATCTGTCCCAATTACTGGCTTTTCGCTTTTCACATTGTTGTTATTATTCTTGCTGTCTATCGCCGGCTGTTGCGTGTCGTCATCATACTCAACATCACCGTCATCATCAACGTTGTCATCTGTATTATCCGTTATGCTGAGCTGCGCCCCACACCCGAATGCGCCAGATAAGTTTGACGCTGCCGAACCCAATTCGGGATCGCCTTCCCGATTTTGTGGATCGCTGAACTGATTGGGAATGACGTCGGCTCTCCGTCTGCGTCGCTTTCGACGCCGTAGACGCACGCTGTCAAACGACTTGACCGCGTCGCTAAGTCGGGCTCGGCAGGGTTCGCACGTCCTCCGATGTTCCATGAGCACATCGGCGCAGCGCGCCGCCGTGTTCGACAGCAGCGCCGCTACCTCGAGTCGAACGTTGGGGACGCGATGGTCAAGCAGCGCCTCAACTTCCGGCCTAATCAGCTTCATCACCAATGCCATATTCCGCAGTCCCACACTTTGACTGCACAATAGGGTTAACCCTTCAGTGGCGCGGGCCATCGTTTGCTCGTCAGCGCCCGCCAAAATATCAATAGAATCAGGAACCTGCTCGACGATCGAGCTCAGAAGTCGTGCGAACGCCTGCCGATGTTGCCATTTTGCCCACTGGACATCCATGTTCAGCTTGCGAAATACCAGCTCCATTGCGTCAAAGTAGCTGGGTATATCTCCAGGATTACGATAACGTTGATACTGCTGCTGTTGTTGTTGCTGCTGCCCCTGTGTTTGTTGTGCCTGCAGCTGCACATCGCTCTTGATACTAGAAGTAGACAAAGATACCGAAATCGCCGAAGCATTCATCACTGAAGACGAATCACCAATTCCCGTAGTTACCGTTGCTCCGTTTGTCACGAATGGATTTTCACACCAGATAATAGGGCCAAAACAGACTGCCGCCGAACTTCTTACCTGGGCGACTTTGTCTTGCAGTAACTTCTCCAGGATCGGAACAAAATAACGCAGGCGATCGCCAAAGGAGAAACAGCCTGCAACAAGGGCAATTTGTCGCGCAAGTTCGTCCCGTAGCCGCCACACACGTTCATTTTCATTGCGCGCAAACTCATGGAGAGCTTCTAGCAGCAGGCGGCGCGATTGCGGTTCAAGATGTATACACATTTGGTGAAAGTTCCGCAACAACGGAAGTCGCACCTCATCGACGTCGCGGCATAGCGTATGGAACAGCGGAACCAACAGTTCGACCGAGTCTCTATCGCCAACGATGATCACCAGGCTGTGCAAACTCGACGCCACCGAATGGCGTACCTTCCACTGGACACACTGGCTCAACTGCGTAATCAAGCGACGCAGGTGACGCTTCCAGTTTCGAGGGCCCAGGGCAAGTGCGACGGCTGGCAGCGAGTAGGCACAGTTACGCGGCAGATCAATACAATCAACCTGTCGAGCGAGCTGGGGATCAAGCATCCGCTGAAAGTGTTGTAAAAGTTCAGCTGGCACGCCGCAGACGTTTGTCTCGTACAAAAGCATATCGCGCTCCGTAGGCGAATCAGTATTTTTATTATTGCTGATGATATTATTTTGTTGCTGCTGTTGTTGTTGTTCCTGTTGCTGCTGTTGTTCTTGCTGCTGCTGCTGCTGCTGCGGAGGCCACGACGCATTTTTCTGCGCGCGATACCGCGGCGACGTCGTCGAGTCCGTAGCAGCGTCGAACATAACACTAGCCCCGCTTGGGCCGGTAGCAAATGTAACGGACTTTTTCTTTGGGGAGTCATTGTCCAACTTTAAATTTGCTAGACCTACAAGCGTTTCGTCTAAATCCCCATCATTACAAGCGGCAACCTGACACCCCTCGGCTGCGTCGCATGCAGAAGTTTTTTCGCCTTGGCCGTGTTCTACTACGACGCCGGCGTCATCGTCATTGTTATCGTCAACATCCGTTCCTATGGGAGCGACGCCGCCTCGCTCGATTACGGCGCCAGCGGTCACAACATCTTCAACTTCACCGTCGACCTGGAGCTCGTCAACGTCAGGTAACGGTGAACGCCAAAACATAAAGCTGTTGAAGTTCACATCGGTCGAGTTCAGATCGCCGGCAGCGTTGCCTTGGCCTAGTGGTAAGCCCCTACGTGGCGGAGAGCGCTGCTGTCCAAATACCAACCTTCCAGATGAGGCGATCGTTGTTGCCGAGCTGAAGCCGGCTGTGCCCGCTGTAGTCGATGAACCATCAATAAGAACACTGTTATTATTCGTGGCATCGTCGTAGCATCTACCATCCGCTGCCATTGTCGATGAGGACAACTGTGCTGCGTAGATCGATGCCCGATCGCTTCCACTAGACATTCTTTCTTCAATACTGATTTCTCTTCGACACTGAAATCCGTTGTCGGGACTGCTGATGTTGCGCATGAAGTTCTCGTGCACGACGCCAGGTTCATGTAAGGGTGCTTCGTAGTCGGGCGTACGCCGGACAGCAGCCTCCTGGTTGACCCCTTCCGGCCGAACGAGCTCGAGACCTGTCCGTTTTGGGTCGGCGAACGTTGATATAAATGGGCCCAGGTTTTGGTAGGCGGCGGCAGCCACCCATTTCGCGGGATCGGTTAGTAGCGATACGAAGCGCGGGGCTAATGCCTCCAGCCGAAGTCGAGGTTCGACCACGCAAGAAATTGCCATAAACGATTCAGTGCAAGCCTTTCGAACAGACCAGGCGTCGTCCTCGCAGAGGGACAGGAACGTAGCTAACTAATGGATCAAAACAAAGAAAAAACACGTCAATGACTGTGAAGTGGAAGCAAGAAAAAACCACGTGGTACACCAATGCATTATCTTCATTCGTGCCGTGCATGGGCCTGGAAGCACGAGGGTCCCTACACACTATAGGGTATATCTTGTGCCAAGCGGAAAGGGATGTGTCTAAATTCATTTAAATGTAACTGACCAGTGAGCTAGGTCGAGTATGATTATTGCCGCTAAATGTGAGCTTACTCACATTTCTGGCGCAAATAGAAAGCTAACACATTCGTGTGTCCCCAATTACTAGCTACCTAATAACGCAATCACTCTTACCAAACTGTTCTGGATGCACTGAGCGTCGAGCACTTGGCACAACTCGACCATCGCGACAGCGCACGCCCTCCGTACGTGGAACGATGGATCGTTGCAAAGCTCGAGAAACGGAGGAAGTAGCTCAGCTTGAGCTTGTTCGCGGTCCACGTACGCTATCAACTTCGGCAGCAACTATTCGAATCGGTAGGGCCCAGCGTCGAGCAGTGGCATCATAAGGCAAAATTTAAAATTGGAATGGCACAGCGGAGTAGATGCACCGCAGAGGAATTGAACCACACAGTGATAAAAAAAGAAACAAGAAACATACAGAAATGTTTACGTTAGGTAGGTACAAAACTCGTTGTCGTTACTTGTTGTTGATGTTATAAGGAATATATCTCAAAAATGCACTCATACAAATCATGTTCATGTGTCTGGTCGTACGTCCATCTAGATTATACGTTCCGCTGCAAGGACACATGCAATGTCCGACCACACAATTGACATAATTAACTATTTCGAAATAATTCATTCGCTGCATGCCACACAACTCAATTTCAACGCGGAAAACTCCTGTAACCCCGTCAAAGACAGGCTAGTGAGACGAACTGATCCTTATAAAACATCTCACTACCCTTGTCTTTCACAGCGTTAGCAAGTGCCATTCATCATAGTACTCTTCATAGACAAATCGGCATTAATAAACTGACAAGGGCGAAAACATCTAGCTCATTGTCGGGCACACCAGGCTAACTGTGCAGCCTTTTCTGGCGTGTCTTATAAAGCACAAGGCAATGATGTCATTCGAGCCGTCCACCTCATCAAAGCTGGCTGTGATACGAATCTTTGATTTAGACGTCTGCACAGCCACTTTGGTGAGACAGACACGGGCTGCGATCTTATAGAAGCAGCGGGCGACGTTTTGTTTGTTGATCGGAGCTTCTGCAGTTGGGATATCCTATGCCAATTTCTCTCTCTCTCCTAACGCAGCCCCTAATCCGTGGACAGGTACCTAATTATCGGTGAGGAACAACACCGATTTTAACAGAAAGGAACTTCAGGATAAAATTTAGTGGATATGAATGCTTGGATTATACCTGTTTGAAATATAGTTCACTGGTCGTGTTCGCAGCTTACCAGACAAACGTATACTCTACGCGCTCTTCCGTAAGTAAAATTAAAATGTTGAAATATATCAAGCAATAGAAACTGCATGTCAAAGGTTTGCTGTTTCACCTAAGGGAAATAGCTAACAAAAATGTTAATTGTGCTGCTAAAGCCGTAGATGACTGACTTCTTTCGGAGAATGCAACCACCTCCCAAGTCATCAAAGATGGCTGTGATATGAACGGTTCTATAGGTACAGACCACAGCCAACTCGATGATTAGGCGACAGTCCAGAAACTTTTCATCATAATCATCCTTGACTACTAAAAAACAATGTTATACGCAATAAATGAAAATATCCGTTATTACTATCACTGTATTACCACAAGGCTCAACTTAGTTCATGCTATCAAATTCCACTGGCTAATATTTTAGCAAGTTATCATATAGCAAACAATTATAATTGTTTATCGTATATTATATATATATATATATATATAATTGTTTACCGCATGTTTGCAGTTTATAAATGGTCACGAAAACATTAGCTAGTGGACCTTGACGGTATAACAGGAAACACAAAAATAAAATTGTGTTCCACTACTTCCAGTATTCTTAGTTGAAGCTTCTTATTCTAATTTGCTTATGTTCATAGTAGAAATGTATTTAGACGGGCACTACTCGCTCATCGCTGTCGATATACGGCGCCGAAAAGAGCTCATCAAAGGTGGCTGTGATGCGAATGACTTGCATGAACGCTGTCACAGCCACTTGATGGCCTCTTCGACGTCAATCTACCCTAGGCACTACCATTCATTGGGAAACTCGACGGAGTCCCTCGGATACCGTTGTTTGTAGCTTACAACCATAACCACAGAGTTAGTCTGAGGTAGTTTGGTGGTAGCACACGTTATCTTCAAATCGATGACATGAAGCGGACCCTCGTCAAAGACAAGGTAGTGAGAGGATTCAGTTCGTCCCCTGCGGTGCGCTGTAGGCCCCACCGTGTTCAAGGGGCAAAACCTAATCTTAACGACGACATCTCACTACCCATGTCTTTCACGTCAGAACGCTAATACGACCTCATCTTGCTATTCACGGGGTACTTGACTAGTCAGAACCACGAGTAGCACCGATTTCCTGACACTCTGCTAGTAACGCTCATCAGATTTACGTAAATACTGCCGCTTCCTGTAAACCTTAATTATTGATATCATGCCGCTTTCCGCATGCATCATTAGGGGAAAAGCCCGCTGCATGAGCGAACGTGCAGATAAGGTCACATACCACTTTGAAAAGAATTTGAATGTTTTCCTATGTATTGTATTTTTTTCTACTCACCGTAGCGGCTTCCTGCCGTTGGTCGTGAAGATCTGCTGAAAGTGCCGATTCGCCCGTGTTCTCTAGCGAAACTCGAGCCAAATCAAGGATCGTCGGCAGTAGTTGACTCGATATCGTCGATGGAGTGACCAAGCGTGCGTCCAACATGCGAAGTAAGACGCACTGCGCCCGCTTACGGACCTGTAAAGTCATATCACGCATCAGCATGGCCAGGCACGGTAGAATACATGCACGTTGCAGGCGAACTAGTACCGGGCTTGGCGGGAGCGGTGGCATGAATGGACCAGAAGGCCGGAGACTTCCTCCAGAAGCTGCCGTTCCATTAGCTGTCGTCATAAGCGCAGGTCCGCCTGCTCCAGTAGCGGCATCGGGCCGATCTAAACAAATTCCTGCTAAAAGACTCAGCTGTTCAAGAAGTTCAAGGCGGACGTTCTGCTCGGAATCGCGCGTCAGTAGATCGATCACCTTTCGTATCTGTTGCATTTGCTGTTCTGTGCAAGCCTGACCCAGTTCGAATAGGCATTGCGGAAGACAGCGTGCTGCTTGTTGTCTGGAAGAAATTCAAATTATTCGAAAAATAGTTAGTGTGAAACTGAATAGTGAACTTTTTTCTAGTTACGTTCCCCATACGCTATGCTTAGTGCTGTACATATGAAGCAACGTAGATTACCTGCTCCCCCTTTTCAATGTGTTTAGTATTAATAATAGATTTTGATGTACACAAACTGAGTCCAAAGAAACTCTGGTTAATTTCTACTTTACAAACCATTCTCAAAAGATTTCCACTGGCTCATCTAGAAGATGGGCACACTCGTTACCGCTCATTCATTTCATACATCTTGCTACCACTTTGTATTTCTCTCTTCTTGCTATCACTTTATATGTACTCGCATTGTATTTTTAGATATACAGCTGCAAAGCTACGTGTACGCAAACGACCGGCTCACTGACTGAGTGACTAGGCTGTTGACCGGAATGGTGGTTGTCGCGTCCCAATGACCTGACGCCAAAGACCATTCCTGGTACGGAGCTGACTTTTCTACCAATTGCTGTCTGTTGCTGCTTCAACATTTCTACCAGTACAGACATGAACTGGCTAATTCTTGCGACGCAATTATTCATCACGTTATCTTGGGCTCAAAAGCCAACTCTGCTCAATCGCTGGATTACAACAATGGCCGACTCCAGCGCTCGTTGGCAAGCCATGTTTCAGCAACCGAGGCAAAGCTTGCATGGGAATCCGAGGGAAAGCAAACCGAGTCCATCCATAAACTTTTCTTAGCAAGCGACTTTTTTTTGCGTATTGCAAGAGCGTCTTGTTATTTGCTTTGGTGCAGTTCGTCAAGTCGAGCTGCCAGTTGCTGCTGACGAGGCTGTTCTCGTTGCTGCTGTGGCGAGGATAAACGAAATCGAGTACCATAAGATGAATAGATTAAACGGGCAGCAAACAACGAGTAAATATTAGGCCACTCTTTGGACCAAATTATCATCATGACGTCGTAGCTTAGGGTTGGTTGTACAGATGTGTGCTATAGAGGGCAAAGTTCCCTCATGTAAGCTTTTGCAGGGCTGTTTGGTGTCTGTTTAGGATCGGGTGCCACGTACAGGATACGGCCGGATTGAACAGACGACACCTGCATGACGATGACTTTTCCCTCCAACAATGCTTCACGTCAGAAAGCGAGTTTGATGACGCGCCTTTTAATGTAATTGACGGAACAAGGTCATCAAGGGTTAAATAGTAAAAAGTACTCACAATGCACTATTAACTATGAAACTACTGTTGCCTCGACTGCCGGTTCGAAACGTATAGGAGGAATACCCTGAATCACTCTTTCGATTTCAACCATTTGTTATTTCTCCCTGCTCCTGCGGATTTTTCCTGGTGGCAGTAGTCTTCATTCGCAACTGCGACAATTACCCGCGTCGCCGAAGCTTCCAACGGCCGTCAGCGGAGCTCGTGTGTCTGGTAGCTACTGAACGTCACAACTTTATTAGCAGAAACATCAGCAGCTATGTCAACAGAAACAAATGGGCGCCGTTGTTATTAGCGCGGGTCCGTATCTTCATAGTCAATCGAAAGGCAGATAGATATAGACAAACATAAAACGAACGGCGAAAACGCCAGCTGCATCGAGCTGTCAGTAAACACATAAATTTAACCGAATGGACGGCAAGAAGACAAAAGTAGGGAACGAAAAGATCATCGATCGCTACAACGGCATCCAGGTGCTTCCACATACCCCCGCAGGAAACTTCAATCACTGAAGCAACAACGTTCGACTTGACGATTCAGTGTTCAGAGAAAAGTGCTAATACAAACTTAGGTAGCTGAAAGGAGCCATATATACACGCTCGCATTGGGTCGCATCTTGCGTAATCGCGCGTGCTGAAGACATAACTAATAATGTCCATAATATTCTGCACCAATAGCAGTTTGACAACAGCCAGCGTTGTTGTCCCGAAGGCGTGTGCGAACATCACCGACGGAATAGAAAGGCTCATGCCAGTGGAGCAATTGAAAGTCATGTCAGGAAAAAGTATACAAGACAACTTCAGGAGAAAGCATCGTTTCCACCCAATGAATAGCTTTCTAGACGTAATAACTAAGCATGACGTCAATTGCAAGATATTTAAGTTAACGGACGGAAGTTTTGTCAACGTTGATAAGAACACATAACAGACAGGAAGCATTAGAAGCTACGGGTATACAAACGGAAAAAAAGTGAAAAGGCCGCTTCTAAAGCAGCCGACGAAATCTCGGTAGATTCGATAATAACAGCTCGATCTTTCAAACGTTAGCTTATGTACTAATGGAACAAAAAAGTGCATTTTTTCTTGCTTCACACAGTTGGCATTAAACTTTTCTCTATCGGCAACAACACGGGCATATTTAGAAGCGAAACAAAAATTGCACACCCATTCATAAACACTCGCTTCTTGCCTGAACCACATCGCACAAATTTATATACACAGAACTAGCCATAAGCACATTTTTCATTTCGATTGTTCCGACCAGGTGACATTCATTTTAACTTCTTCATTAGCCCATTCATTCCCCGTCACACACTCACACAAACATGCCTGAAGAATACTCTTCCCAAAGAGCATATCTTAAAAGCACAGCCTTCACCGCAACTACCAAGACAAAATATCAAAATCTGAAACACAGCATCGAGGTACCATTTTTGTTGTCCAAAAACAGCATTTCCTTGCATGAAAGTTCCTTAACTGCGTCTGCGTGCAGCGCGTGGCCGCTTACGCGATGCGTCCGTGGGCTGTGTTGCAGCAGTCGCCACTCACTCGTTTTGGCGGGCTATTTCAATATAAAAAAGCGTTGAAGCGATCGTTAGGCGGATCCACAGCAATCTATTCTAGGATCCGGCCGTTGTTCCGTATCGTATCGACAAGCATCGTCTCATACGCACCATATCGCGTAGACGCCACTTCACTTCGTCTTCCTTTCACGCTATGAATGCTTCTGCTGCTGCTATTGTGGCATTTCAGGTTGCCCGCCGCCGTCTTGCGGCCCCCCGTTTCCAGAGATTCAGCACCGCGCCGCCATTTCAGCTAGCAGCGGGTGAAAAGAGCGCGAAAGAATAGGAATCCAGAAGATGATGCTTTTTGTTGTCCGGGGAAGGGCCAGAAATAGGAGAGGTGGCTACCCCCGGGAATCGAGTCAGGATGTTGAGATGGCGGCAAAGCACTAACCGCTCACCACTAACCATCAACCTTCCTCCATCACAGTATCATCGTTTCTGGTACGCTCTCTTTTTCAATACACCCTCGTGCCTCTTTTCTTCGTCACCCTCCTCCCCCCCACCCCTCCTTCGCCTATGACCCCGTCAGCTACTAGCTCTTCTGATCAAATCGATTCTAGCACCAGACGAAACCAGTACAAGAATCAACACAACTGAATTACGAAAACGACTTAAGAACGAGCGAGATCCGAAATCTGGTTTGCGGTGCTAGTCGCGAAGACTGGTAAAGCCGGCAGAAGCAGTAAGAAATAGGCCAGCAAAAAGCTGGTCTTAAGAAGCACGAAAGAAAACCAGGGGCGCCTGCATTAACACCGTCACCTTCGCTAACTACCGTCAGCGAGAGAGCAAGCCAGCAAAGCCAACCCTAGCCTAACGGAGCCCCTTTCGCCATACTAGCATCAAGAAACTTCCAAATGCAGTTAGATGCATATCGACGCAGATCACGCCAACCTGCTAGGGCCAGTTCCGCTACAGCTGCTTCTGCCTATAAACCTGAGATCTGCTGCTAACGATTCGTGCGCGCGAAACAAAGCAAGAAACGATAACGACGATACATAAACAACCTCACACTACTATGATCACCCCGCCGAAAAGTTGAGGAAACTGGAGTCAGAGCTCCCGTTACAACCAGTTTCGAACGGTCCATCTGGTTTATTCTGTGGGCCCTGCAGACGAATACCAGGCGACAAAACTCCTCGGTCGCCTCACAACGACAGGACATGTACACACAAATATACATGTGTCAAACTGGAACATTAGGCATTGGCGCTTCGATGTAGCGACCCATCGTTCTGGGGTAATATGCATTTCCGTGAAGGGTAGTTGCAAGACAATGACGATGCCCTGCCTTGGGTTGTCCCCTGTCTGGCGAGCACACCAAAACAATAGCAGGCTCTTCTCAGTTTTCGGCTGTCGGTAGCATAAGCTATACTTATGTCTTCGTTCACCACACAAATCAAAGTTCTGAGGAAAGACTACAACATTATTTCTTTTTAGCGTCGCTGTCCGCCAACAGGAACAGGGACGGTCAATAGCAATTCAAGAAATCAGCCAACATCTTCGCGCCAAAAATTTTGCGCTGATACTCGGTGACCGACTAGTGGTTTCGGCCTTTTTCTCGTTTTCGAAATCGTCGTCCTTGTCGGTGATGTTTCTTGAGTTCATCGCTTACAAAAGAAACACTTGATTGTGCAAGAGGTCGTGAAAACAGCACCCCCAATGGAACAGTAGACTAGGTAGCAAGTCTTCTGTTTCGAGGCGAAAAGGGCTAACTTAAAATGCTGCATTAGGTTCGAAATATTACGATTTTTATTGATTATCGGCAAACAGGTTGGTGGATCATGGCGAATAACTGGCATTATTAGCTGGTATACCTTACTACAATCCTTAAGTGCAGAACAATCGAATAAACTTCGAAACAGGCTGTTACAAACACTATTTTCTAGCTAAGAATACAGTTATTTAAAGCCAACCTGATTGCACACAAAAAAAAGTACTCTCACAGCGATCCCGAGCCGATCAGAACGAGTGTTTATATATGAACGCGATACTCAAAATTTCATTTTCGTCATCACGTTTATTAGACGATGACTAACGGATTAGGTACGACCCACAAGTCGATATAGCCTGGCTTTACTATTCAGCCCCTTCCTATTCTATTAACTCCCTACTTATGCGTATATCTCAACCTTGTGTTGTCCAAAGCGTTTAACATTGGCAGGCTATAGATTTGCCTGGCGATCGAACAACTCTTGTGATTCCAAGTACGACATGCCAGCGTGGCTCACCATGAAAATCTCCCGCCTGCAGACGCTAAAAAGGAATTCAAGACCGGCAAGTCGAGTAGAAAAGAGCTACCTGTAAAAATCCAACTTAGAAAAGCAACAATGGCACCCATAGCGAATTACAAAAAGACTTCTCCGAGTCTTTTTATAGTTCGCTAATATTTTATTTAATTTTTATAATAATTCTTATAATTTATAAACTTTTTTATAACCTTTCAGAAATTGGTTCATGTTCAAAACGAAATGTGTTTTCTTATCAAAGGATATCGAAGGAGATGTGAAGTGATAATCACTCCCTATCTTTTTTATTTGCTCTTATGTAGAGTTGCTTAGTTTGCGCCTTCGGCACCTCTAGATAGTACTGCGATTCATACAGTTAGAGAGACGTTATGAAGGCATTTTTAGGGCAAGCATCTCATGTAACCTCGTCATTATAAAGTCCTTACCGCATATATTTGAAGACACCACACCTTGAGAGGGGCAGTCGAATCTACTAGCATGTAAGTAACAACTCATAATATAAAAATATGACTAAAATGAATCCTGTTTACTCACAAACGCACTCTAGAAATTTATCGTACAGTTAGCTCAACGTCCCATAGCTTTAGCTATAGCCATTACTGCGAGTCTGCTTCTGCTTTGAAGTAGATCGAAACCTTGGTGCGACCTGCTTTGTTATAGGGGGCATTTCCCTTTGGTATCTTCACAGCTTCTGTGCACAAGCCACAGTGCTGCCCCTTACCTACTAATATCGGAATGTTGACCTGTTGAAGCATTCATTTGCTTTACTTATAGATTTGATATACGCTCTTTCCCTGCCCGCGCAACACACTGCGCAAAGCTTACGCATTCGATCTACGACTGTCGGCCCAATGGATAACCACATGGTGATTACACACCTAAGAACTATGATAAAGCACATTTCTCGATGGACGTTTAGCTTTGAAAGAACCTATCCTGCAACACCACTGCAAAGGCTTGTGCAGCAAATCCCCATTTCCATGTGTGTGCACTCTTCACATTATGAAAATATAATTTCTGTCGAGCGCCTTATGTGTCAACATAACCGTATACTGCCGTATCTAGGTATTCAGAGAGCCAATATATTCGTTGTCGAAAACAGTGGTTGCCCGTTAGCTTTGATTTTTGATTTGATGTCTCTTTCTTTCTAATAGCTTTGTTTGAGACATCATGATAATGGGCATAATAATTTACGCGACGTCTTTGTTGCCGTGGCTTTTACGTAATTGTTTCTTTTTATCGCCGTACTTAGTTTTCCCTTTAATCATTTCGTTATCATGATCGAGCGCGCTCACGCCCATCCGTACATGCAGGTGCTTTCAGACAAAGACGACTTTATACCGCCTTGCTCCAGTTGTCGCGCAACAAAGAAATTTTAGAGTTCAGTTGACTTCTTAAATCTCGGTCCACAGTTGCTTCACCATTATGTATAATGACAGCCGTTCGGAATTTACCGTACGGAAGTGACGCCGACCACTTATTCAACGCTGCAGTTACGACTAACTCTCTATGTTGTTTGTACTTTCGCATCCAGCAGTTTTGCATTTTCCACTCTCCCACCGTTTCGCTGTCTGCTGTACGCGCACATCGCTAGTGTTAATGGCTCTACTTGTGCCGCTGTTTGCGTTTGCCCGTCTGCTTCTGCTGTCTGCTACTGCACTGCACTGCATTAGACAAAACATCTTGTTGACGCCAGTCGGCAAAGATGCCAAACGTTTAAACCTCGATTACAGTTAGCTGCCTTCGCCTGAATTGGTCATTTTATCAAATGACACACAAGTTCATGCAGTTGTGCGCTGCAATAAGAGCACCATGTGTCTCCATAGGACAACGCAACATACAGGCTAACAGACGACAATGAGAAAGTCTCAGATAGAGCCACCCGGTTACAGCAGCCAATGACAAGTGGCAAGCACGTCGCAACCATTGTCTAGTGAACGTCCATAGAGACGCCTGGAGTACGTAATTTTCTATTCTCGCCATTGTCCTTGTTGTTTGCAATGGGCAGTGTCCGACGTGTGACGCGACAACGGCGCGTCGGGTCAACACGTGACCACTAAAACTCCACGAATACCAACGATGTCACCATTGTTGATTTTGTTTGCTATGCCGGTATCAAGTACTAACTACGTTGCACACTGATACGGTGATGAACGCAATAGAAAGAGGCTTTTAGCAACTTGTATCTCGATTGTTGACGATTAGGAGGCAACGGAGCTATGAAGGTACTGTCGAGCAGCACTAGAGCATCGTAACGAAGTATATAGGCCAAGTAAAGTACTTTTCTTGAAAAGTGGTAACACGGGGCCTTACGCGGACAGAATCTCTAGGTAGGCAGAACTACATCATTATTACTGTTGCTGGTTTACCACAGAATCTTATAATATTCCCGTTAGGATAATGTTCTCTTAATGATTTGCTTTTTTCTCCTTTCCGCTGTCAATCGACGAAACCACGCAAGGAAAAGCATCGTCCCACGTTCAACAGCGCGGGCCTGTCGAATTTGACACGGAGCAGTAAACCAGGCGCTCCAAGAAGCATGTTCCATCCTTCACATAAAGGCAAACACACACACACACATCCCAAACAGATGCGTACTCGATTAGCATAAGGGTCCGTTTTGTGGACAGGGGGTTCAGTGTTACGATGTCGGTTTCATCCTTCTTTTGAGAGCAGACTATCCACATCGTTACGGTGCTTCGTACTTTACCACATCTTGTCTTGATGTTCAGCTCCGCTAGTACTGAATTGTCTGTTCATGTATTCAAGCGTTACTCCGTTGCGCATTACTCCTTAGCTCGTAAAAAGAAAAAACTAACTCCCTAAAAATGACGTAGTTAACCATTATGGAGACCAACAAGAATGCGCGGACGTTAGATCAAGGTACAACGAACACCCGTATGGCCTTCATATATATTCTATAGAGCGTTGTACACAGGAAAAAAAATTCGAAATACTTAATATATTGATAAATACACTGTGGGGCGACAACCAAACAGCAGTCCTAAATCTGAGTGGAGCCTTGTCCAGAGGAAAGTTTACATCATAGAATAAGCAGAACGTCACTGGTGCGCTAACTGGCAAATATAGTCGTAGAGTAGTGTAAGCAAATAAGAAAACGAACCAAGTTAACCATACATCATTATAAATACATTTTCGTGGTTTTGCTTTTCGCTAGCGGATTTGCGAGAATTTCCGAATGTCCCCATCAACACGTGCGATGTCGTATCATACAACATAGCCAGCTGAATACACTGCAGACGCGCCGCATGCCACGAGGGACATATGAAACACTCGTTCGTATCTCTTTGATCCTCCAAACACAGCAAACCTGCTTTCACCAGAAATTCTTGAAATCGTTGATGAACCTTATAAATGTTAGCATCTATTTGTTCGAGCACGCTTGGTTTGCCGCGCTACTATACACCACGAACGCAGTGGATGAGCAGCCCCAGGAATTGTTTGGGTGAAGTGCAGCTCGTTACCCATGAAGGGTTCGCTCACATCGTTCGAAAATCAAACATCGAAAGCGAGCTAACCTCGTATGTCTCTGATTGAATTTCCAAAAAAATCGCGTCATGGCACCGCTGCGGTTAGGCGATGCATGGCCCCAGAAACGGTGACTCACCTAATATTATGGCTATGCGGGGCAACATAATACACAGTAGGACGAGTTAGCGAGTGAGCTGGTTTTCCAAAGAAATTCTGACTCATAGATGATAACACGTTACGCCGCCTACGACGAATGAAGATTATTACGACCCATCGCGATCCAAGTCGTAGAGCAAAAGATAGTGCGACCCACACCAACCGGCAAGATCACTGTACCCGCATATGGTATAAAACACCCGACTGCGGTGCATGAATAAATGAAGTGACAGCGTGCTTCGTTGTCAAGAAAGCTGTCGAGAACGAATAAATACTAGAACATACAACAGATATAGAGAGAAAAAACTTATTGCAGTTCTGGGTGGCTGAATAGATTGAATGAAGAGGGAAATACTACGGTTAGAGATCAATCGTATCTAAGAAATGGCCTCACAGACGTCAAACATACATGAATTGATAGCTGATTCGAGTACTCAGTTTCCGAATGCATCAGCTTTATTTAGCTAAGTCCAGAAATCACCCGGCAGAATCCGAGATCAATCACCGAAATATCTTTGTCGTGTAGTCAAGCCTATTAAATCCAGCCGATCAAGATTGTCGTCACTGAATCAATCCGTTGCTATCCGAGCAGCGCAGTCATCGACCACGGTTGCCGCCATCGACTACCAATCCCTAATCAGCAGGACCCCCTGATGTTTCTCATGTCAAGCAAGCGCAACCGACCGGTAAGTCGTTTTTCTTGCGGGTTCGTCTCCACATACTCTAAACTCAACCACTCACCAATAGAAGAACGCACACAGATTCGTATAGACATACCGAAACCGACGCAAAGAGCCGAGGAAGCCTGTTGGAGGTTCTAGCTTCCCTGATTAGGCTAGACTGAGTTCGACGGGCAACTGAGTTGGCTTAGCCGATTCAGCAAACCGACGAAAACAGCTGGTATCTCCGCAACACTATACTTTCTTTCTACTGTGACTACTACACATTTCACTACTGGGCTGCTGGCTCTACAGCTTCGAATATGTTTGTTGGGGACTGTGGAGGAGCACACCGACGAGGGGCTAAAACAGGCAGAGAAAGTTGCTGCAGCAGGCCAAACTGGTAACTAAATTTATTAAACGCTTAACGACTAAGGTGTGTTTTACCCCGTTTTTTGATCCTACCGAAGTGCTTTTTGACCTACATCAAATGCAGGAGACAACCGACCACAGACTGGCTGAATCTAACTGGCCATAAAAGATAGATTGACATAGTTCGCGCGAAAGTGCTGCGTCTTTGTCGCCGACTTGCTTGTTACGACCGTAAAGGTCTCGTAGTATCTGCCGCAGCTGTTCCTGCAAACGGATGCTGGTCATAATTAAGACGAATGACAATAGCTATTGGTTGTGCTGATTAGTGTAGCTAAATTTACTAACAAAGGTAACTTTCTATACAATTACTAAATCAGTTCTTTACGCCAACAAATGCAGGGACCGGTGTTCTTTATGTCTACAGACTAATAGAGTTGCAGATCTTCAGATTGCCCTGACCTCTTAATCCAACGCGACCACGTGCTTTTAACAGTATAGAGAAACAGAGCGTTTTCCAATAAACATTGGGTAGTGCATTATATCTTCGCCTTGCTAGAAAACTATTGTTGATCAACTACTTCATGCAGCAGCGATGATATTAGTCACACGTACTGAGATCGCAGCCGCCAGCGTGATACTATACACGCTTTTGTTCGTAGATTTGCGGACTGTCGAATGCGATAACTGGCTAACTATCTGGCTTGTGTTTTATTAACAGTGATAATTAACTCTCTGCAGGCTGCGTCTTGTTCCTGCCATCTTTCCTCCCAACTTCCTTAAGATGTTCATATTATTTGTTGGTCAGCAGTCGCCCGCTGTTTACACGGTATTACGCAAGTGCTTCGGGAACAGCACATAAAAACTGGTGTGTACGGATAACCCGGTCTGGAACCTAGGCCTTATCACGCGGGCTAATGTTAGGAATTTAGAAGGTAGTTTAGAACAGCGTGAGAGTTTTTGGAGCTCCACGTATACTTAGAGAGCTCAATTAGCATTTATTGCTGCGAAAGGCCAGTCATGCCAAAGAGAGAGAACCATCACCCATGAGTTTAGTAGAGTATTATTATGATGAATCGCTACGGCTGTAACGGCAGTCAGGCGGTTGATGACGAATCCTCGCGGCAGTTCATGACCCTCGAAGAACCTAGGCACTCAAGCGTTAACAGCAACATCGTGCACTGAAAGAGTGTATGTAGGTAGAATGAAACCGTTTCGGTATGTGACTGCACGTGAGTGGCGTTGAGGGGTGTTTCGCTTGAATTTTTCAAACAGCGAAATTAAAATCAGGGATACAGGGCCCCAGCCGATATCAATGAATGGTCTTTATCATAACAAGAAACGGCATGTCGGCAGAGACGCTTTCGAGTTGTGGCACACCAAGTTATCCTAAATGTTTGCTTCAAAATATTATTAAAATGACAATTGTTCGTAGTCCATTGCGACTGTTTCATGTGCTCCGTCTTCTGGAAGCCTCCTGCTCTAATCTTCCCGCTTTTCAATGTGACATGATATGCTTTGTTTTAACAACTACATTAAGACCGTTTGATTCTCGTGTACCTTCAGGTGTTCACAGCGTCACCACCTAATGAGTCAGTTATACTTAAAACTAAGTGGGTCCAATGAGGAAACATCAGAACTAGCACCTTAAACGACGCAGTGATCTCCACGGCAGCTTCGTTGTTATTTCTAACTACGGTTAGGCGATCGCATACCGATAAATAGCTACCTTACGATAGCAATGACATTGTAAAGCTGTACACAAGTCTACGAACAACTCCAGAACGTCGTATACAGTACCAGATTTGTATGTCATTATCCATACATTATTTAATAGACATTTTTCTACGTATACTATACTACGTACTGCTATTCACGTTCAGATATACATATCTGAACGTAAATAGCAGTTCATCGCCATAGGAGCGCATGTTACCCGCGTGGTTCACTCCTCCGTTACTTTCACAGCAGCAGATCGTCATCAACACACCCATTGTAAACCGAACTTTCGCTATCAATAGCGCAATCTACATTCTTTCAGCAGTTACGTCTTATCTACACAGACATCAATTTTGTTAGTAAAGCCAGACCCATCCAGCCCAACTCCCCCAAAAATCTCTTACAACCCCAAATAATGCGTTGAACTCCGGTTCTTTTCCGTTCGTTAGCAGCCTCCATCTCGGTATCTCTACTTAGCAGCACTTGGCTGCCCCACCATTGTGGCCTGCTCTTTCGCCTGCTGCATCACTGTTTACTATTCTATGTATGGATTGACACGTAAGTCGTAGCGGCATGGCCCGTTCGGTGCGGCTACTGCCGCTACTACTGCTGTCCCCGTACTGCTCACTTTCTCCCGACTCCTCTCTGTTCCTTCTTTCGTCCGCATCGGTGGTGAGGGCGCCACGGCGCCGACAGCAGCAGCGGGAAAATCCAATATGGCGAACGGCTGTAACGGAGTCATGTTCGTCATTTATGGCGGAGCCACCTGCTCCCTTCGCTACGGCTATCATCTATCCTTGTAGACACAGAGCGTATTCGTCGGTGAAACCGCTCGCTACGGCAATCATTTATAATTACAAAGGCAGAGTGTGTTCGTTTATGAAAACATGTTATAGTCAAGCAACTTGGTCCAGTCAGGCATCGATGGTGATGACAGCCGCATCGCCAATGGCCCGCTGCGAGTACCTATAGAATAGTACAGCTATATTCTGCCATATGGGCGCCTCAGCAGCGGAGCTCCGTTGCTATTCAAGCCGCCATAGCAGCGCACAACGGACAACCGGTAAGCCGCCAACCGCCAACAGCACTAGCAGCAACCTACAACGATGAAAAAGACGGCCAGTTTCCAGCGATTCAGCTTAACACTGATGTCGTCGCTACTACTGCTGGAAGTGTTCACAATGAGCGGCTGAAAAAGTACTGGCGGGGGCTCGGCAGCACAGAGCGGCGAGACTTTCGTGTTGGAGAGAAACGGCGCTCTTTCCGTCACTGCCTCCCAATACTCTCACCGGTAGCAGAAAGAGGCCACGCGCACCGGGCTAGCAACTGGCGGCCAAGTAAAAATATGGTCGCTAGTTCCCTTGTTTTGCTGCTGCTGCTGCTGCTATTGTTGTCGTAGCGCACAAAAGCGACCAGTAGCAACAAGAACGCTCAGGAAAGCCAAACACGACAAAAACAGTGAACCACGAAGGGGGATTGAAAAAAGAATAAAGTTTACTAGACAACGGCTTCTTGCTGGCGACTATCTTGATGTTCGTTTGCGTTCGCCGCTGTCCCTTTCTTGGTCGCTGGCATTTCTTCGGTTAGTCCTTCCTCAACAACCGTCGCGCAGTAGCAGCTGCTGGTGCTGCTGGATGTTGCCGTCGCTTGTGTGTCTTCTATGACCGCCCTTTCCAGTCGAATGCTATGATGACGGTTGCTACTCCTGCTTGCATCGAACGAAAGCGTTAGTAGCAATAGCCGCCTGACCGCCTCCTTCTCAATAGTCGACAATTACACACAGACAAAGCGTCAAATGAAAGGCGAGAGCAAACGCGAGAGAGAGAGAGAGTGGTGGTTGGGGGAGTAGTAAGCTACTCCGTTTGAACGAATGCGGAGAAAGTTGGGGCGCGCCATGGTCGAGAGGGTTGTCTAGGTTCGAATCGGGGCGTAGCCACAGTTCGCTTAATGCTGCGAGACAGCCGTCTAAAGTGATGCCTACCGCCTTAAACACAAAAGAATTCGGAATCGTCAATTGCGACCGTCATAAAATAGACTGCCAGAGATGGACAGTCGGCGACACACAGCATCAAATCGCACGACCTTCTTGCCATAAGGTAAAATAAAATAGAGCTATTGTTGGCTGTTGGTTTGTAAAGCCAAGAACTACCGTTACTGTTACTGCCACAGCGATGGGGGGACACGCGTTGCTCCGTGCGCTGACCGACGACCCGTTCCTAAGTTCAGTTGGTTGGGCAGTTCATCCTCCTATATCAACGTTGATTCTTGGTATGCTAATCGAGCAGTGAGAACACTTACCGATTCAGCAAGAAAGTCTTGCCTGCTTCTGTTTCTGTAACCGCCCTTCTTGTGCCCCTCCATCGATGGCAGCAGGTATCCTGCCAGACCCGAACCCAACCAGGTCAGTTAAGTTTTAGCCAGTGGCGTCTGACTATGGATAGTATGTTTATTAATGCACGTAGCGTACATATTATATTTAGTTGGCAAACGATGCCGATCGTTGCATCGCCGCTGCTCCACCGAAATCGCTGCTGCTGTCGCTGTATCCAGAAAACAGGGAACGCTACTGTAATCTAAAGTAGTACCCGAAACAGTAGAACCTACAACACTTAAAACAGTATGAAGCGTAATGGTTCTGCAAGCATTACCAGCCGCTGAGGTAACAGAAAGCATTCGAGGCAACTGCTATCCTTCACAGAGCGGCCACGTTCGCAGTAAAGCGGTATACGATAATATGACAATCTCGGAACGGTATTTCCACCCTCTCCACGCACTTTTCTGAGGCCGCGAATTAATGCGGACCCTGCCCGCTGTTGGGGTTATCACGATGAAGAGAACAGGGGTGGCGCTTATAGTCACAGTAACATAGGTGGCGATAGCAGCAGCACACGGCGATGGGACGGGTTCGTACTGCTGCTGTTCCTAGATTAATATATGAGAGCATCAAAAAAACAGAAACGACAGCGAACTGATGTGTCAACGGCGGTACCAAGTGTGCAATCGCCGCAATGTCGAACGTCGAGAAGTTGTTGCATATGTATTTGCGCTACTCTTGATAAGAATTGGTTCAAATTCTAGTGAGGGTTGTAGTAGGAAAATAGTCCGTCGCAGACGATTGAGCTGGCGCGATTGTGTCTGTCGAGGCTGGTTAAGTAACTGACGAGCTAAGTTTTGCCATTATAAAAATGGTAGCAATAACATCAATAACTAACAAATTATTTCGACGGCGTAATTTGTCAGTAATCTAGACATTTGTTCGACTGCCAAGCCGTTTGTCCTAGTAACGCGTCTAAGTCTCAACCTACTGGAAATCGACAAACTGATAGACCAGACGTCAGACATGGATCGACTAACAAAAACCAAGCAAGTAATACGAAAAAGAAATGGGCTGCAGCAAATAGCTGCCGCCCGAAAGAGTCAACATGTTCAAACGACTCTCAGCAAATAAACAAGCTCGAACAGTGAATGTCCGGAACTTATCGATCCTGGGCGGTACAATGACATCAAGGAGTCCCATAGCGCCTACATAACACGAGTGCAAGCACCAGGCAGAGTCTGGCAGCCAAAATAATCGTGGCACTCAGTCGTCGATGCTGTGGCTGTTGTTTCATTTGTACGCTCGTGTTTCCATGACTGTACAGTGAATAGCGTGTTTGCTTGCTAAATCTAAGGACCCATGAGCAAATAGAGGTTCGAAAGCGGCCGTAGACATTTCGTTTTGTGGGACCCACTCGTTTGAATCCATCGTCCGGTACCGTACGTAAATTTTGTATACCCTTGTACATTTACGCACAACGTTTGTATATCAATTTTCATAATGTGAGTGCTCTACTCCGACGAGAACGCTGTTATTGGTCGTTGTCATGTTGAATAATGGCTGCTTTCAGACACGTAAACTCCCAAGTAAGAGAAAGGATACCATTTGGTCAGGAGAATAAATTGCGTAAAACAGTTTCTACAAAAAGCTAGCTTACCTCGTCCCCTATGACTTGTAGCACCGATGATCACTAGACGATGAATCGATTAGGCAGACAAAACACTTGTTCTAAATGATGTGTGTTCAGTGGTTATTACAACAAAAACTACTAATCAACTGGAGAAGTTCATCATTGAACTGCAAAGCTCGGCGACGCGTGCGACAACGTTCATGGTTGTCATCGTAATGCTGCTGTCCAAAAACAACGTGGCGGGGGTAACGATGGCACCGTTCTTAAACGTCATCGGTGTAGATGGGGACGACGTTTTCGTCTATTTTTTTGAGCATGAAAATTGTCAGTTAAATATAGGAACATGTACAGCATATCGATTCATTTCATCATAAGACCTCGATTGAGGCCAAGATCCATACCCTACATAAACCCTCTCGGATAAAAAAAAGAGGTACCATTCAGTTAAGGGAACAAATCTTGCACCAAATGATAGTTCACCTCAGTAACTGCGACGTTCGAGTTATTATCTAATACAGAAAATACGACGGACACTTCGTCCTTTGGTCTATATGCCAAACTCCTAACTAAACTTAGTACGTTGGTCCGATCATTTGCTGCTGCTGCTGCTACTACTACCACCAGCGCCATTACTTACGTTGTTATTATTGTTTATGTATAATGATAATTACATATTATGTAATTGTGACTGCAGTGCTGATCACAGCTCTATACCGTCTACGATGCGATAACAACCACGGCAACCAACAAAGTACGGACCGATCGTACACATGCTCCCCTGTTTCTTTTCTTGCCTCTATGGCTCGTATGAGTCTGCCGTCTTGATCATCCATTTTTTCTCTACCCACACCCCTCTCTCTCTATTAATTTGTACCGCGTCCTCGTGGCCATTGTCTGTGATCGAACTAGCCAACCATCGTCACCGCCAGCATCGACACAGCGGAGGCTTGTCGTACCTCTGCAGCGGGAGCAGCCTCCGGTCGTTGTACCGATGCCATTCGTGGCTGCCGGCCCGCCGGAATCCCAGTAGTGGCATCACATCACACCGTCTCTATTCCGCGCATACGTCGCTGGTCATTGACCGCAACGACGGTGGCGCCTGACTGCTAGCCCAACGTCGTGGCAATAGTCGGCAATAACCGCGCCGCTACAGCAGCTGCCGTGCAGGGAGGGCAGTAGCAGCAGTAAACTCGTTGCCGTGCTGCCAACTACTTCGGTTTGTTTCGTCTTGTTTAGTTTCGTTTCACCGTAGCCATTTTGTGCCACCAAACATTGCATTCGTTTGGGTTGCATTCGGGAGCCTGCTGTTTCCGAAGCAACAGCAATAGTACCGCGTTAACGCTAAGCTGATCAAGTGTAATGCTCCGAGACACCTTGCGGTCGTCTTCGGTGTGGCTGGTGACAGCGCGGTAATCGCCTGCGTTCCTCTCTCAGTGTTGACCGGTCGTTCGGCCTGCCTTCTTCTCTCTATGGCCGTTTTTTTTTCATTTCCGCCGAATGTCTGTTTACCGGGTGTTGGCCGATCGGGAACGTCTGATGGGATAGGGCTGATTCTGTTGTTGTCGCATTCGTCATTCGTCGCTCGAATGGTTCGTTAGGCTGGCGGCACGCGGTCATTGAGCGCAGCACCGGTACGCTGGAGCCAACACTAGCGTACCGGTGCTGCCGCGGCTGCTATAGCTAGCCAACTTGCTGTAGCTACTGCTACTGTTCGCCGATAATGTTGTTGTTGTACGCGATGTTGATGAGATGTATCGGAGGGACGAGTAGGGCCAATGCGTGGAGTTGGCTAGCGGCTAAGCAGGAGACACTGACGGATGAACGGTATGCCGCAAGGTGAATAAATGTGGCATTCGACCTGCAGTTTGCAGTAAAGCAAATATATACTTTTTTAACTTTTTTTTTTTCAGTGAGCAAGCGTAAGCTCAATAGGCTTTGTCCGACCACTCTTCGCCCAAAAGTTAATTTTACCTTATCACTGTACTTTCCTAGTATTCCTTGTTCCGGCAAGCTATGATGACGTTATGCGATACTGACAGTGCCACCTATCGGCAATGACTCAACGGTAAGTGCTCGTTTTTGGCAAAGTGGCATAGTTAACCGCAATTTGCAACGGAATGTTCACTCTCATATGACAACAATGCGGCGGTGAAAGCCGGCGACGCCCGATGTAAAACACATTCCCCAAGACAAAATGCGGAGGCGTGATTTTGACGAATAAAAGAGTGTGCCGTAACGAAGTCTATCCTTGCGCTATCATCAATATTCTACAGTAATACTAGCAGGAATCATACTATCAATTGTAATAGTATACCGACCACTACTAACGGCTTTCGTCGCCGCCCGCCATAGCACCCTCTCCATCAACCCTCCGTTCCATGCCACTCATTCATGCTGGCTATTACCACCATATGACCCACGGGGAGAACTCCGTATGAGCCTACAGCGCAGCATGAAACAGCCCTTGCGATCCCCACTTACAGTGCTATTGTTGTAGCTGCGGCACGAGGCAACACATGCCGAAGAAATGGAGGCTCGTTAGGATTGCTGTCGTTGTCACAGGCGTCAACGTTGTCATTCCTTTTCGCCCTCTTGGAGACAGCCCGACCAATCCTCGACCCGCTGTGAAAAGGGGCTTTCACCCTGCACAGATGCTACAAGCATCATGGCTTAACCACGAACTCTCAAAAGATTTCATGGGATTCGCAGACGACAACAGTAGCAGTACTGAACAAACAAGGGCCAATCGAACAGGCAACGCCTGCTAGAAACTGCACCAAGTTAATCGCACGTTAATGGCAATAATTAGTTAACGCGCGGAAAGCTCGCATGGGAGGGGCCATCTGTAATACTCGCGCTGAACTCTGAATGCGTCCGCCCATCGTGAAACCAACCTACGGTGAAGAAACGGTATGGATGGCATTTTTAAAAAGCCCTAACAGATGAAGAAAAAGAAGGAAGGCCGAGGGCAAAAAAACCCGATACCCCAGAGAGAGGGGGCCTCTTACGAAAATATCATAGCTGCTGCTGCTACGCTTAATTAAGAAGCCTTTCGTCATTTACAGTATTTCGGTGAAAAGCCGAAACTCAAATTAGGGTGGCCCGCGTTTCATTATGGAGAACAACTAAACCATCAGTCTCAGTACATAAAACATGTAGATTGATTTTACAAAGTATGACATATCTATTTTTTTTTTCGCCTTAGCGTAAATTTAGCCCTAGGGCCGTTTTTATCTAACATGGAATGGGCAAATAATTTCCGTGGTTTACATTTTTATCTTTGAAAAACTTAAGTTCTCGCGTGCGTTTTCGTTTATGTCGTTCATTCCATTTTACCGTGAACTCTGCTCGACCAACCTCCTGTCAACAAACGCGTTCTTATTCATAGTGTTTGGTAAAATGCGTTTGTTATTGTTATAGGTGTGAAATAACAACAGGTGATACTGCTTTTACCGAGAGCTTTATATTGTTCATACTGATACTTGCGCCTACAGTAGCAAGTCGCCCCACCCACCATAAAGTGTGTTGACGACAAATCAATAGATATTGTGGACAGCCGCATAGAAGCCGACGGGAAAACGCTACTGGTCGGTTTATAAGCACAGTGTCAATCGGAGTCTCGTACCCGTTGTCAACACCAGCGAAGATGTACCACGCCCTCACTGACATCGTTGGTCGCACCAGCAACAGCAAGCGGACGGTAACATCAGAATGGCGTCGAATACGACAATTAATTCGGATTCTGGTTGCCAGCAGACATGATCATTCAACCAGCGTTTTCACCATTGAATTGCTTTTTTAGAGATTATGCGATGTTCCCTTGTAGTTCGATACAACGCCATTCAGGCTGCAGCTTTGTTGCTCACGTTCGCACGCCTGTTAACCGGCTTGGAGCACTCCGTGTTTACCCCC